CATAATCAAAGGTGTGTGGTTACTATGCTCCAATGTACTTGTCATCATCATCACCATCTGCTCGGGGAGTCTCGTGTTGATCATGCAGTCGACGTGCTCAGCCTATCATGGCTGATCAAGGGTGGTCACTGCCTCAGTGCTGGGAACATTGGCCTGGTTGAGGATGCTGGTGTAGCTGTACTGTGTCTTCACAGCAGATTCGCAGGATCCTCTGCAGGCAGCATTTGGTGGTACTGCTCCAGTGCCTTGAGGTGTTACTTGTACAACTATACTAACAAGCGTGACACTGAAGAGTTTTTGTTTAACCAGCCTGATCCACTTGTATGCCAACTTCTCTGTAAGTCTACCCAGTACTGAATCACAGCTTTTGATCCTGAAATCACCTATTATTTGATTAAGTTCAAGGACATTTTTAAGTTTAGACATAACTTTTGACTATCTTAATAGTTAAATGAAAAATAAAACAGTGTTGATTCACATAGGGAATGGACAAAACACTTAACAATGTTCTATAATACACCTTGAATAATACTATAATAAAAATTCCAATTTTCAATGTGAACACATTGAAGATGCAACACAATTTTTATAAGAAATTCATGTCATGATCTTATTACTTTACAGTGGCCTCTCCTTTGAAAGCCTGTTACAATCATAGACAATTGAATAAATTTACCTGCTAGAAATTGGATATCTCATATTGGGGACAGCTTTAGGCTTGATTGCAATGATCTCTTATTATAGGAAAACCAGCCAACATCCACTATTTAAACTGTCAGATGGGAGAATCAGGCTAGTTACCAAAGTTGCCACCAGAAACATGCCACTAGGCAAGTCAATGCCTTCAGTACTCAAGGGGACAATGGTTAAGAGACAGAATGCCAAAAGAACATGAAGAATGTAATTCAGCTGTTGTTGTGTGACAGGAATGAGCACACATGCAAAAAAAACCCAGCTGATCCATCATGCCCGGCCCACACACTGATGGCTAGGCCATTGTGACTAAACACATCCTCGATCTCCATCATGCCCCCCTCGCCACCCACCCCTGCAGAAAGTAACTGTACCTTATTGAAGTTGTCTTTAATCTGGAAAGAGTAATATGCATTAACCTTATATTTTGCTACTTGGGCAATTGGATAGGAACAGCCAGTGTAATCCATGCAATTTTGTTGTTCTATAATGTGAACTGAAGGCTCACCATTATACACTAGAGAAAAAATAATATTTACCAAAAATTACTTCCCTGGTGGCATACTTCCCAGGAATTTAAAAACATTAACTAAAATTTAAAAAGAGAAAGCTTAACGTAAATAAGCAGATACAAACTCGATACAATTCCTAAATATAATTCCCTCAAAGTAAAAAGGAAATTAATTTATACAATGTATTTATCCAATATGATAATTTTTCATTGTTTAATTAAAACCAGCACCATTGTTAAACATTGTTAATAATATCACAGAATAAAAGTTGATGGTTGGTTTTACTACTTTATAATAACTAAAAGTATAAACATCTGGATGCTGTACTTTAGAAATTGTTGTTTCAATGAATTAGGCTGTAAATTTCTGAAAATTAACATTTTGTTGTGAATGATGCACTGGGGATTGCAATCTGGTCTTATCTTCAGCCCCAGTCAACTAGCGTTCCAGAAAGTGTGTGCAGCATCATCAGAGCGTCCATTTGATAGGATTCTACTGCTGGACCTAATCAATCTCTGGAACACTGTGGCTGCACCATGCAACAAAGCTAAAATAGATTTACAAATGGGGTTTTAGGGGGATAAGCTCCTTCACAGGATTACATATTGATTTTAAATATAAAAAAGCTTATCATATAAACCGTAACTACAAAAATAGTGAACCTATGCATAAATCCTTTCAGAAGAGCTTGCACTTCAAACTACAAACTGAGAGTGAATAAAGCAGTGCAAAATCCAGAGTAAGATCCATTTCGTGGGTTAACAATAAAAAACAGAATGTTTTAGAGACTATCCTTAGGCCATGTATAAACAAAACGTGAGCAGGTACTCAAGACCAATGATGGGTATTTATTGATGTCCAAAACTGCAAAAACATATAAGTGACACTGCTCTGATATAATTATGTAGATGTTATTACCTTTTCAACAAAGACAGTTTTCAAACATCCTCCATATATCATGCTCATTTTTTGTGTTAAAATGTTATCACTAGAATGCTTTAGATCAGAATACTGTATTTAATTTTTATTTCAATCATGACATATAACATTCTGATCTGATACTAAACACACAATTAAATGAAAGCTGCCAGCAAAAACTAATTGGCATTTTAAAAAAACATATAAGCTTTCATATAGGGACTTTACACAAATACATTACTTTATAATGTGGATTCCCTTAATTTACATGGAGCATTTTAATTAGAAATCCAGTGACTTTATGCGACTTCACTGACCACATCATGGTCAGTCCTGCCTCTAAGACAAAGTAGGGAGAAATCAAGATTTAAACGTTGAAAGATATTTGTAATAACCTGGCTGTAAGTAGGTGGAGCAGGACAGATCTGAACCGTCTTATAAACAACTATTTTGTGCCATATAGAAAGGAAAGGAAAATATGTCTTGGGTGAGTATATTTTTTAAACAAACTTATGAATTTAACCAGATTATAAAATGAGAAATACAGGAAACAAAGCTTAGATGAGTAAATCTCTTAGAAACAGGTTCAATCTTTCATATATTTTGTGAAATTTAGCTAGCTCCAGTTAAACAATTTTTATAATTACAAAAAGGCACGAACTTGAATGCCAACAACATATCGCACTTTCTTTCAGAACTAATGTGATACAAATGGAAATTTCAGTCTCAAGCCTTCACGGTAGGACGAGACCATATTCCAAATTAAATGCATCCCATGCGGTAATGCCAATTGCAATTGAATCCAATGCAATGAAAGTGTTTGGGTATCACATTTAACCTTATTCTATCTACACCTTCCAATGTTTGATAGCCCTATTGATCTCATCACAGCACACAAACTGAATGGCAATGTATATTTCAGCATAAGCTGTCCAAATTTCCAACACTCTATCTTGATCGCTATAGCACATGTAGAATACTGACCTTTTAGAGATTACTAAGCATCCACATAACTGAGAAATGGTCAAGTAGAAACTGTCCACACATAACTAACACAATGGTAAGTGATTTCACAAAAAAATGCTCACATCCTACTGACATCAATAGGTCAAAAAGAGTTTGACAAAACTACCTTCCCATGCTATCAATAAGTCCCGCACAGTTTACTGAACTGTCTACTCTACTCTGTCATCAACAGACTAAAAAATCAGCATACCTGTCTGGAAAACACTGATATGAATGGGACCACTGACCGCAAAACTCTTTTTCACTGTCATGTCATCAGCGGTTACAGCACTATCGGCAGAACTGGAGAACCCCTGGGACTGCAACTGGGAAAACTGATAATTTCATTTTTGTTACCATGAACGCTATTTATATCTTTCTGTGTAAACATTATCCAAGACGATACATTCATGATTCTCAAAGCAGCAGAACACCAAAGATTTATTTTGATATTCAGCAATGAAAAGAACAATTTACTTTGGTTCTATTTTTTGAACAATTTATTTAACAAGGAGTTGGATTCTTTTGGATAAAATAAAAGTCTAGCAAAATCAGTAATTCAGATTAATAATTTCCTAAATACATGCTATAGAATATAATTGTCATTTTGATTATGCAGCTTGAGGCAGGACGATTTGAATTGTTATCCCTTAGGAGGTAATAAATTGTGTGCCAATGCATGCACCATCAGTTTTTCTAGGCTAAATCCAGTCAGAGATTTGGATCATGTTGTTTATAGCTCCCTGATGTTAATCTCCAAATTTCAGTCCAGAAATACAAGAAATGATGTGGGAGTTTTTACTCTTATCTATGATTACAGAGAATAACTCCTGGTTGTTTATTCCGGATGCTTTGAGCTGAATCCGCTGTAAATTCACAACAAATGCAAATTTGTAACAACATTAGAGCTTTACTTGTACATTTTTGTTCCCCTACAAATGACATCACAGGGGAAAAGATGCATTGGACAAATCGAAAGTAATTAATTCTCACTTCTTTATCATTGTATATTTTTATACCATTTCTCCAACACTGTTCTTTGAACAGATTAACAACTGGGACAACCAGTGATTTGTACTTGCAATAAACACTTCAACAAGTTGGACAATGACCAATTGATTATGCATGTGATTCATCTGGAGGGCAGGGGAGGGACTAACTTGCACCAGTTTCTGATCATGCTGTTCTGAGAAAATGCACATTCTGCGATATATGGCTCCCTACACCCTGAAAACACATGAAAAATTGTTTCTTTTGGTTGTTCTTCATGAATCACTCTTGGTAACAGCACATTAGCTAGCAAAATGGACAATGAAGTACTGAAATGAACCAATTCCAGCCTAAATATATGCCAGTGGCAGAACCTGGGAAATAAATTAGAATTGATTTATAACGGCTCAGACATCTTATCAGGTGAAGAACGACATAATTGTACTCAGTCAAAGCCTAACAAGGTCAATACAGAACGGTAAAATTAATTGGCATTGATTGCAATTGTTTTACTTTGCAGGCAAAGTCGCAGTCAATACCAGGTGGCATTTTAACTTGGAAGAAAGAACTTGCAAGATTTCTTTCAGCCCTGGCGTAACTACAAGTCCAGAAGGAAAAGTAACAGTGTCCATGTGAACATCTAGAACATGACAATTATTCAGAGAGCTTGGTATTATGATTTTTAACAAAATTTATTTGAGAGTTTTAATTTTTAAATAAAGTGCACACACATTCTTTTCAAGTCAGATACTGTGTTTGCCATGAAGAGCATTTAGACTAGAAAAATTTAGGAGCTGTTGACTTTTCCAAAATTCTGAAATTATTGAGGATTTGAAAACGAACATTTAAATAATTTTGAAAATCTGATAAATAACCACTCACCTTCTATTGCAAGCATAGCTCGTAATTCTCGATTTAGCAGCTCAAAACGTCTCTCAAGATCGTGTTCTTTTTCCCTAGGCAAGTCAAAAAAGTTCATCAATACGGTAATTAACAAATCATTACTGACTAAAAGCAACCTTTAAGATTCATTGATTACTGAGACTGACTATTGTCTTTTCTGAAACCTTTAATCTACTCCAAATAATTGATACACAAACCTTCAGTGACAGTATGTCAGTTTATGCATTTAAAAAGTGTGCTGTATTTCATACAGTATGTCATTTGCATTGATGTAAATTCAATTCAACTACTAAGAGAAAGAACAGAATGAAATCTTACTAGGTAGACTTTGGATTTTTCTTACCTTTAGGTGGGATCTGATCACTTGTTAGTTGTGAAATATGTTGGTAAAAAAAATCCATACATTTAGATTCACAGGTTGAAACTAGGAGAATAAAGTTAATTTGGTAGGAAGGATTAGGCAGTGCCAAGTCAGTGTTTTAAAAACCTGAAACTTCAGGAGACATGAATGACTGGGATAGTCCTGGGAAAAATGAGATCAAGTGGGAGGAAATGCATGAGTCTTGATCAGGAAAGGTTACAGGACTGACGGCTCTCAGGTTTGAAATAATGGAACAGGAAAGTTGAAAGGCACATTTTAACTTTGTTCAGCACGAAGACGACAACTTCAATGTGAAAACAGGATTCAATCCTTAGATAAAGATGATTGAGCTAAGAGTTCTTATGGGGATTTTGTTACGCTTACTACTTGTATTATGGAAATACATTTTTTGGAGGAATCTTCAGGGATTAAGGAGATTTGGGAGGGATACAGTAAAAGAATAGATGATGAATAAAAGAGGTGACAAGTATAAAAGAGGAACAAGAGTAAGTGTGTCTGGGAATCGTGAGTGAATGGAACAAAGGGTGGAGGACAGCTTGGCAGTTAATGCTATTTAAAGAGAAACCTGGTCATTATGAATGCAACTTTGGTGGAAGCTTATACGTTGGTATCTTGTTAAAATAGTTAGAGATGTCTAAACCAGGGCTGAAGTGTTTAAGTGCAGATTTCCAAATATGCATGACACAAGCAACAAAATTACTAACAGAATTTCTGATGCTCAGTATCAGTGGCAATATCACATTAAATAGAACTTCAAAGATGACCACCATAAGAAATTGGACCAGGATAGACCATATGGCTGCTCGAGTCTTCTCTGCCATGCAATACAATCTTAGTTGATCTTCTGCCTCAACTCTACTTTCCCCACCTGCTCGCCATGTTCTTTGGTTATGAGTAAAGGATAATTTGAAAAGAACAAATTTCACAATTTTAGAAAGAACCAACAGACTTGCAGTCACTGAGATAAGTTTATGTAATTATGATACTTATCTTAGTAAAGCAGAAATCGAATTGAAATCCTAATTAGGCTAAAAATGGAATTGAATTTAATAGATTGATTAATTTATGGACTATTGCTGGAAAAAAAATCAGTAAAAGCTATATTGTTTAAAGAACCCCCCAAATGACTTAGGAGTATCGTGCTTATGACTCAAGTCTCATATGATGTGACTGAACTGTGATGTCCTCCATCTCTTGGTTTAATACTCATACCTTCCAACTACCACTACCTCATCTGGTGTCAATTTTGGTTCAGTCAATTCCAAGCCAAACATTCTTAATTTTGCAGATTACCTGCTTTCTTACAAGAATTCTTGTGAATCTTTGGGACTCATTGCCAGGGTGCAGTAGAGGCAGAATGAATCAACAGATTCAAGAAAGAAATAGGTATGTTTCAGATGAAAAGTGGGATAAAGAGCTATGGGGAGCAGGCAGAAAAGTGGAGTTGAGACCAGGATAAGATCAGCCATGATCATGTTAAATGGCAGAGCAGGCTTGAAGGCTTGATTGCCCACACACGCTCCTAATTCCTAAATTGTTCCAAGGTAGATACAGCCATCCCTATAAAGGTGTGCTGCTTGTGTTGCTGTGATAGTGTCCCTATTTTCAGACTAGGGGGCCTGGGTTCAAGTTCCACCTTCTCAAGAGGTGTCATAACACGCTGAACAGGTTGACGAAAAATATCTACAGCCTTTCCACATATGACTTTTTTTCAGGAGGAAAGCATCAACATTTCAGCGTAATGAAATTGGAGGTGCCAAGACTACCACTTGGTGTGACCTTACACCACCTACCACACCAGCAATGACTTTGCTTGAGTAACATTTTTCTACATTTTAAGTCACATTTTGATCTTTTCTCTTATTTCTTTACCACATTTGGACACTTCAGCCATCTCCATTCCTTATGTCCTACTGATGTAACTGCCCAACCCCAGGGTGACAGACATCTTGTTAATGAAATCTTCTAAGATAACAAGGTACAGAGCTGGATGAACACAGCAGGCCAAGCAGCATCAGAGGAGCAGGAAAGCTGACATTTTGGGCCTAGACCCTTCTTCAGAAAGGCTGCTTGGCCTGCTGTGTTCATCCAGCTCTGCACCTTGTTATCTCAGATTCTCCAGTGTCTGCAGTTCCTACTATCAATGAAATCTACCTCCTTTCTATCCCCTGTTCTTAGACCAAGGGGACCTTATCCTTGGGGATTTCAACCCACATCTTAGTCACTTTCCCACACTTGGGTGTCATCTTGAGCACTCTTCCCATCAATGTCTCCACATCAATTTGGAACTATATTATTCAGGGCCTTGGTTACCAACGTCCTCCTTAATCTTTTCAAAATTCTTCTTCTCCTTCTTATCCTGATGCTTCTGCCACGCCCCTACCATATTAACATCCTTCTCACTTGGCAACAAAATTATCCATTGAATCCTTCACAATCATTATCTCAATTCAAATTCTTTCATTGATATAAAAAATCTTATTCCTTCTTTATTGCCATTAGATCCATTTCCCATGTTCACCATCTCCATTAGTCAAATAGCAATTCTGTAAACTTAAACACACTTTATAAGTATTGACTCTGGCAGTTGTGTCAAATCTGACTTAGCCATGTCAAAAGCTAGTCTGACCTTCTCCACACATCAGCATTTGGGAACATGTCAACAAACCACCAGCCCTATCACCCACACCCACACCTCCATCCAGCTCTTGGACATCAATTACAAAGACTTCATTCATGTCTTTGTGTCCTAAAGCAGATCAACTATTCTGCTGCTTTTACCTACCTACTCCTTGACTTTTCTGTTCAAATCTACTGCCCTCCTGCCTGCCTCCGTTTACTGTTCGCCTCCACTCCAGACTTTATCAGCTACCTCTTAATCATGAAGATACCACCTGCCTCCTCAAAGCATACCTGACTAAACTTGCAGCCTCAGCTTTGTACCGCCACTATCTACAAGCACATTTCCTACATCTTTCAAAACTTCAATTGCCGCTCTTTATCTCTAAAGCCTTGAATCCCACTGTTACACCCATAAGACGCTTCCCCAAATTCCTCAAATGGATTAGCTTAGTTTCCTTTGCACTTACAGAAGTGAAAGTTGATTCTGTCGCCGTATGAGGGCATTCTTCTTATTAACCAACACAAACCACTCCTGCATCATAGCTTCTTCCTTCTCTTTATTGTTTCCTGAAAAATGGAGGAATAGAATTATACAAAAGCCTAAAAAAAAATCACAGCCATCCCAACAATCAGCCAGTTGGGAATGAAACATAATCAAAGAAGATATTACAACAATCCAGAATTATGAGTGTGCAGTAGTTTTGATTTTCAGGACATTGTTGTAAAGCTTATAGGCAGTATTAGTTGGATGATCCTCACTATCACTTTCACTCACTTTATTGTCATCCCTTGTTGTGAACCATACCATGCTGATCTCGAAGCACTTCTAGTTAGCACAGTAGCAAGTTCTAGCTGGTGGATATTTCCATTGCTGGCAAGGTATTTTCATTGCTTAAAGAAGTTTGCACTTCTGCCTATTGAATCTGTTTACCTTTTGCTCCAGATGTTCAGTACAGCAGTCTAACCCAGACATACACCTGGTAACTAATCATTATTTCTATTTACAAATGTAAATTCCAAAATTATAACACAGTGGCAGATACTTCCACTTTTTTGGTCCTTTCTTCCACCCTCACTGATACATGTCCCTCTTCCCCTTCCCTCCTCAAGGTTTAGCTCCTTGTTGGATGTGATTTTATTGCTATTGCCTTATCCAAGTAGCAATTATTCATATGGAGCTATGGCAGTTGATGCTGATGGATTATTGGACACAGTGATATGTAACATGGCAAAGCATAATCTGGTTCTCACCAGATACCTGTACACTGACTTCAAAGAGGAGTTGTTCGGAAATTATCCTGTTTACAAACTAGAGGCACTGAGGAATAAGTATAGCTGCATTAATAGGAGAAACTAATCAAAATTCTGTATTTGATAATGTTTCCCTCGAAAATGTTTTTGATACAGCAATACAGCAGAAGGGTTCCCAAAACTACGTTAAAGCAAAATACTGCAGATGCAACAAATCTGAAATAAAAAATACAGGAAAGATTCAACAAGTCTAACGGCATCTGTCATGCGAGAAACAGAGTTAACAATTCAGGTTATTAACATTTCATCAGAAGCTATCCCATGTAGCTTTTACCATTGCATCAGATAGAGGATTAAGTAAATTAGAAAGAGGGTCAGAAATCACACGATGCCAGGTTATGCTCCAACAGGTTTATTTGAAAACACAAGCTTTCAGAGCCTCACTCCTCCTTCAGATGAAGAAGGACTGAGGCTCCAAAAGCTGTGTTTTCAAATTAATCTGTTGGACCATAACCTGGCATCATGTGATTTCTGATCTGGCCTACCCAAGTCCAACAAATAGAGAGAGGAGAACATGACAATAGGTATCCGGCAAAATAAATGAAGCTAATTCACCAAAAAGTGATAAATTCTCGACATTCAGAACAGCATTCCACCATGAATACAGGACATCCCCAATGGAAGATTATACAAAGACTTGAAAATGCAGAAATATAATGGGCAAAAATAAATTACTTAAACAGTTAATCTGGACTCTAGGTAGTTGGACACACAGCAGGGAAAGTCTAAAAACCATGAGAGATAAGGCAATTAATACTATTCTTTGATTGCTTTTAATCTTTGCCTGTACAAGATGCTGCTGCACATCTGGAAGCTATAAAGGCAATAAGACACAGAAGCAAAAGTAGGCCATTCAGCCCATCGAATCTTCCCTGCTATTCAATGAGATTATGGTTGATCTGATAACCCCTCAACTCCAATTTTCTACATTTTCCCCAACCTTTGCTTCTCTTACTTATTAAAAACCATCTCAGCTTTGATCACATTAATGACCCAGTCTCAGCAATTTCTGTCATAAAGAATTCCACAGATTCACAACTCTCTGAGAAAAGAAATTCCTTCTCATCTCTGTTTTAAATGTGCAATCCTTCATTCTGAGATTATCTGAAGGAAGGAGCAGTCAATGTTTCTGGTATAACCCTTCTTCAAGAATCTTCTTCAAGATGCTCTCTGGCTTGCTGTGTTCTTCCAGCCTCCTGTTGGTCTACCTTGGATTCCAGCATTTGCAGTCTTTTTGTCTCTAATTTTGAGATTATGCCCTCTTGTTTTAGACTCTCCCACAAGGGAAAACACCCTCCCCACATCTACCCTGTTAAATTGTCTAAGAATCTTAAATGCTTCAATCAGGTCGCCTCTCATTTTTCTAAATTCCAAAGAGTAGATGACCAATCTACTCAATTTGTCTCATAAGGCAGTTTCTCCATACCTGTTTATCAGCTTGGTGTATCTCCTCCAGTCTTTCCTTAGATAAGGGGTTCAAAATTATTCACAGTATTCCAGCTATGGTCTGACCAGTGCCTTGTATAGTTTTAGCAAACCCTCCCTACTTTTATACTTCATTCCATTTGCCTTCCCTACTACCCACTGAAACTGGATGCTAGCTTTTTGTGATTCATGAACAAGAACTCCCAAATCCCTCTGTTCTGTAGCTTTCTGCAACCTTTCTCTATTAAATAATATATTCTTTCTGCCAAATAACATAATCTCACATTTCTCGCAATGTATTCCATCAGCCAAATTTTTGCCCATGCACTTAACTGGTCTACATCCCTCTGCAGACTCTGTGACATCCTCACCACTTGCCTACCCATCTATTTTTGTGTCATCTGCAAACTTGGCAATAGTACATTCATCACCCTCAACCAAGCCATTAATATCTATTGTAATTGTAGCGCCACCATTAACCACTGTGGCACAATACTAGTTACTGCTTGCCAGACTGAAAATGCCCCCTTATTCCAACTCTGTCTTCTAGACGATCCTCTATCCATACTAATTACTAACTCCAACACAGTGGACTCTTATTTAATAGCCTAATAATAAAATATTTATTTAATAGTGTGACACCTCATCAAATACCTTCTGAAAATCTAAATGTATTATATCTATTGTTGTCCCTTTATGTATCCTGCCTTTTACATCCTGAAAGGATTCTAGTAAATTTGTCAGGCATGAATTCCCCTTCATGAAGCAATGCTGACTCTGCTTGATCATATTATGCATTTCTAAATGTTCTGATATTACCTTTGAAATCTCTTCAGATGCATTTCTTAGATAACAATTTCTTACAACTAAAGGATTAAACAAATTTGCTCCTAGTCCATGACATAACAATTAATTTTTCCAGCCCCACAACAAATAGCCAATGGATGCTGACCGTTCATCAGAATAGGATGATGCTACCAACTGCAGCATCACTCAATGACTTGCATTGCTAACAGTGAGGTTACTTCTTACTCATTCACCTCTTATCTAACTGAAGAATAGCAGCCTTTTAGAATAGAACACTTTTCCATATGAAATACTTTTTTTTAATTGTTGAAGTTTAGATAAGGTGCAAGAGAAAGTTTTTCGCACCTCAAAGCTGGGAATATTTAACTGCAGCATTGACACAACGCAGCTTTGCTCATAACTGAGCTGACACTGGAAAGCAGTTTCAGACTCCCAGGAAGAGGGAGATCTTACTCTTCTTTGTTTGAAATCAGTTCCACTTACACTACAGCTCCAGCTTTCTCATCAGTGAGCACTAGAAACCACAAAGCACCAATCTGAAATTTGTTGTATAAATGCATCTTGATGCTTCCAATTTGTGTTAAAAGAACAGTAATTTGTGTTATTGGACTCTGCTTGTTAGGCACTGCCTAAAGACATTTCATTTGGGGCCCAGCATAGAGAAAATGTTTCCACCCAATCGGTTTTTTTGCTGAATTCAAATCATGGTCTCAGTGGTGAAAAGTCAATTTTCTAAACAACTGCACCAGTTAGTTACCCTTTCAGGGTTTAAAAAAAACTGAAAGGTCAGAATTTTAAAAAGTGACAAAATAGACTATTAAAATGAGATGTAAAGGCAAATCCACTGGCATCAATTTTAAATTTGCTATTTTAAAAATTGAATCAAGTTCTGTAACAACAATACAGTTCCCCCACTCCTGTCTCCACCCACACAACCGTTCATAAAGGCCAATCATAAGAGGTCATTTTTGAATTCAGAACTTGAAATGTACTTACAACTACCTTTCTTATTTTACATTACTCTCTCTTCATTATAGTCACAGCTATTGAACACAGGAGCTCCAACAATCTGTAACACTGCTATGAAAAGGCAACTATGTCTCTCTCCTATATAAAAACAGTTTATGCTAAGAAAGCTGTGTAGCAAAGAGACATTAGAAAATAATCAATTTTAAATTGATTTAATTTTCAAAAGCTGAAAAATGTTTTCACCTGACAGAATTCAGTACCATTAGCTAATGAATACTTTCACTGGGGCATCCTACTCCAAATAACATTGATGTATTATCTGAATATTATTAAAGAAATGCAGATAATTTACTTTTGCAGTAAACCATTGAAGTAATGATATCAATATCTGTCAATAAAGCAGCTCATTGCAAACTACACATACAGAAGGAAATAAATTAGATTCAACATTAACACTAATCCTGCCAGCTGTGTTTTGTTGACAGATTCACAGTTAGCAACAGTTAATTTGTTAATCATACCCTTTCACTTAAAGTCAATCTTAACAATCAAATATTTCAAATACAGTCTTCAAAGCAAAGTTGGTTATAAATGTTGGATGTTAAATAATCCACTTATTTCAAGAAAAAAATTACATTTCAACTTATTTTTCTGATTTTGTTTCGAAGTTCAGTTTATGTATACGTAACAGGTATAGTATATTGTTAAGAGAGTTGGAATTTTTTTCCGATCTGCAGCATTTTATACAAACTCAGCAATTATTACTTTTTTAAACTACTGAACTTCATCAAAGAATCCTGTATGTAAAACTTAAGATACAGAAAAGATGAAGAATTAGAACAAAATAGTTAATACATAATTGTCTAATGTTACTTTTTTCAATGGTATAACAGTTTTAAAAACAATGAGTTTCATAATGAATCCCATCTGATGCAAAAATATAAAGATTTTGCTTCGGCGTGAAAAGATTGTACAGTTTTTAAAAATGTGTTGCATCTGTGTAGCAGTATCTGTAGTCACACAAGTTATGTGATGGCTATGAGCACAAATCCCTA